CCAGCAAAGACAGCAGCAGAGAAACCACTGCCCCCCCTCAAGAAGGAAAGGGGGGTGGGGTAGAATACTCTCATTTAGAGGAACAGAACATCCGGGGAACATTCACAGGTTAATCAAACGTCTCACCTTTCTGTTAGCGGCTTAATTATCCATCGACCTTCAAACAGAGACAAGCACGAGCCAAGGTGTCATTTTTACTCGTCTTTTCACAGTCTCACTGTGCAGTAATTTGTTGTTGAAAGTCAGTCTTCAAGGGACAAAAAATTGGTGTTGAATATAAAAATTGTTACATATTACTTGCTTCTGGATAGGTAAATGACAGTAATTGGGATCAGAGGTGCCAAAGACGAAGTAGTAGTCTGAGAAAGTTGGAAGATTGTTGGTGTTCAAGCTTTTTCCAGATATTAACAAATAGTGTGCTAAATCCACGGTTCAATGGACATTAAGGAGGAAATAAACCTTCTTGCAAAAACGAGACGGGGGAATTTGGTTATATCGTTAGCGATGGATAAAGATGACAAGAATGATGTAATTTCTGATTATTTAGGGAAACAACTACTACTAAAATACATCATCCTCACCGGTCGAGTTATTTTTTACCCAAAAGGACAAAACAATTATGTTGTTTCTTTAGAATTATGAGTCCGTGGAAAATATGCAGAAAATTCTTTGCAAAAAAAATAAAAAATAAATAAATTACTGTTTATTGCACTTTGAAGTAATAAATCTGACAAATTGTAGAAATTATTTCCTTAGATATTTGACTGCTGGCACTAAATGCGAGATGCTAGATTTTTTTTTTATATCCTGTAAGAAATAATTGTGGGAAATAAAATTGTATTTAATTGGAAATTTTTCGATTTCATTTAAGAGAGATAAAAAGTATTAATATATATATATATATATATATATATATATATATATATATATATATATATATATATATATATATATATATATATATATATTTTTTTTTTTTTTTTTTTAATGATTTTATAAACGAAAGCCTTGTCTGTAAAATTAACTACCACTAAAATTTTGCTTAATTACACAGGATAAAATAGTAAAAATTAAAAGATGTTTCATTATAAATGAAATCAACTTAATCATTAAATATGTAATAATTAACTCATCATCAATAGCACGACAGCCCAGAGTGGGCCAAGGCTTTCCTTTGAAGAGATTTCAATGCCTTCCTCTGGGTGATAATGGTTCTCAATTCTTTACAATAAAGGGTTTTATAATACTCCAATAAGGGTTTTATACAACAAGAATTTAGTTTGGTAATAATTAACTACCAAAATAATTAATCTAATCAAATTTTCTAATAGATGAATGAATCAAACATTAGTATTAAATATTGTCAAAAAGGTACCAATAGTACCTTTCTGACAAAATATACTTGTACCAATAGTACCTTTCTGACAAAATATACTTGTACCAATAGTACCTTTCTGACAAAATATACTTGTACCAATAGTACCTTTCTGACAAAATATACTTGTACCAATAGTACCTTTCTGACAAAATATACTTGTACCAATAGTACCTTCTGACAAAATATACTTGTACCAATAGTACCTTTCTGAAAGAATATACTTAATACTAATAATTGATTCATTCATCTATCAAAAAATAATTGTATTAATTATTACAGTATATTTAATTATTACATATTTAATGATTAAATTAGTTTCATTTAAAACATTTTTAATTTTAAAATTAATTTTCTTTTGAAAAGAATCGGAAAGTGCATGCATTTTAATAAAAACCTATCATATTAAATTGCAAAATACTGCTTAGTACGGGGAGAAAAAAAGGGCATGTAAGCAACGCAACCCTTCCTATATCAATCCTAACCGACGAAACCACTCATCTCCACTTAATCAATAGCTCTTCCACTGAATTTAGTAGCCAACAATGCACAACCCTTTCCCCCCCAGAGGACAATCATCCCAAGACATGAGTGAGGAGATGGAAGCCTATCGGTAATAATGCAGCACTGTTTGCAAGACGACGGTTGCATTATACGAGTAGCTCACAAATTATGGCACATGTGACCGTCGCACAATAAGATTTCGCAAGCCGCCCACATTATTCTGAGTGTAACACAGATTCATTGAAATTTCAGATCATGTTAAAAGGATTTATGGCGCATGAATACTAGTGAGTGTAAGAACTTGCCAATGCCAAGGATCGTGTGGATATTTACATTGAGACAACACCTTTATTTATATCACTTATTTGATGATATACATGATAAAATTAAAGAGTCGAAAGTCACAGGAATTTAGAAACAGATATGAATGCTCTTTTATATATCTTTATTCACCATTTAACGTGTTGGTAAAATTTATAATAGACTATCTCAAACAATGACCATAGCTGTTTCTTACATCAATTTAATGGTTTCAAATGTTGCTAAGCCATAGTATATCATAGTGAATTCAAATGTTGCTAAGCCATGTCATAGCTTAATGGATTCAAATGTTGCTAAGCCATGGTATAGCATAATGGGTTCATGCTTTAGCAACATTTGAATCCATTCATATCACAACAGCAATGTTAGAAAAAAGATGAGAATTCATGTTTAAAAAAATTAGGGAATTCATATTTAAATTAACTCAGAATAAATTCAATTATTACGAGCATAAGTTGTAGGTTTAGGTGAAGAGGTTTGATAATGAATGTACAATTCGTTTAGTTGCTGACAAAGATACATTTTTATATCTCTTCGCAGGGTTGGATATTTACTCATTGTTTGAATTAATTGGGAAATATCTCAAGCAATGGCCAAAATCATTTCTTATAACATTCAATGGATTCGCTAATAAGCAAGAGACTCTTTATAGGTCTGATGGCCAATTGGAGGAGTCACTGAGCTCAATCAGATTTCTCAACCACATTATTCTCAAACTGCATAGGGGCAACTCAGCTCTAGGCACAGTGATGTGGTGTGGTGATACTACATGTTATAGGTTCGAATCTTGGCGGTAGCGTGGATATTTGTTAGTGATTCGGAATCCATGTTAAACTGTAGGTCCCGGTCTAATTAGCCTAAAGTGTGCAAAAAATGACCATACAGCGACAAACCTAAGCAAGATTTGATGTCATCCACGGTACAATAACAATGTACAAGTTCGAGAAATCATATTTACGAAGATTGAGGATTACTATTTAATTAATTTAGAATAGAATTGATTAAGCAAATGTAATATAACAAGAAAAATTGATTAAATGAAATAAATGATAATGAATGCACACGTCATACCATTCCTGGCATTCCGTTCCCCCACATTCCCAGAATCTCGCAGTAATAGATTCCAGTTCTTTATTTGAATGCTAATATTATAAATAAAAAGATGATAAATTAGACGCTCTAAATTAGTAACTGGTGTCTTCCAGACATCTGGTTTCAAGTGTAACTTCCGAGAAAACTGCACTGAATTTCCGATGAGACCGCTGCTAACAACTACCAATTTTTCTCCTCGGACATTGATGGATGGATAGCAATAAGGAGGAGGGTGGGAAGAACCATCTTAAGATGATCGATAATTAAATAACCGTGGAAAAACTGTAAGTGTCACTGAAGAAAAGCAAATGTTGCACTTAGCCATCAAAAAAAGAGAAAACAATTCCGTCTAGAAGTGAAAGTTTTTCCCCCTGTAAATTCAATAGCTCTTTCTTGATTTTTGTTATCCTTAAGGGTTAAGGCCTTTTTGGTGTATTATACAGTCGAACCTCAATAATCGAAAACCTCCACAACTCGAAAATTTTTTTTTGTTCCCTTCCCTTCAAGCCCTAAAACCTCCATTACTCGAAAAAAAAAAAAAAAAAATGGGACCTTTGTATATCTCAAACATTAGCAATATTTGATTTTACAACCTTTACAACTCGATCATTTGAAACTAATTACCTCAATAGCTCGAAGAAAATAAGTTACCGACTTTAAGGATTTGCCGACAATGCACGCCATTGCTTCTAGAAAACAATGTAGGAGTATTTAGTAAATAGAATAACCAATTCTATGAAATAGCAACTCGGAAGAAAAAAGAATTTTCTGCTCTTTATAGCTTAGATAATGCTATAGATAGAGAACGATCGAATTGTCTAAAGCAAGAAAAAAAAAAAAAAGTAATAATAACTGATTTTTTTTAATACATAATATTTTTAATTTTAAGGTTGTTTCAGAATTATTTTGATTTTTTATTGTAGTACATAATATAACTTTTAAGTTGAAATAAACATGTTTATTACCTCTGAAACTTGAATTTTTATTTATTTTACCTCTCTAACTCAAAATAAGTTGGAAAGAATCTAAACTTTACAAGTCGAATATTTTCTTACAAAACCCGCGTAAGTCGAAATCCTCCATAAGTCGACAACTCTATAACTCGAATTATTTGGCGTCTCCCTTGAAGTTCGACTTACAGAGGTTCTACTGTAACAACTATAATTCATAAAATTGATTTAGTTACAGTAAATTAATCAATGGTGTTGTTTATAATGAAATATTAATCAATTGAAAACGGACAGTTTCATTTATTTTCTTAAATTACCTCCCTCCTTGTTAAGAGCTGGGGTTACATATTTTTTATAATCCTGATAAAAAAAAAAAATTCTTAAAATCAGAAACATTTTCATTCAATTCCAAAGGCTACTAACGCAATAAATGAAACAAGTCTATTCCTTTGCAGTTGATGTTAACTCTGTTTTGTTGCTGTTGTTTCTTATCCCACTTGGCTGGCCAAGCCCACGAGCCGATACGTACTCATGATTGAAGGGGGAAGGAAGCAGCTTCTGTTGTGATGGAGCACCGTAGGTAGAAGTCTGACTTTTGGCTCCGTGACGCTCTTACAGTCATAGGAGACCGGGACCTACGGCTTAAAGTGGATTCCGAACCACTACAAACATCCATGGCACTGCCGGGATTCGAACCCGAAACCTGTGGCCCCGAGCACTAGACACTCGGCCATTCAGGTCCCAAATTTGTGAATGCCAACGGCACGCGGTGTTCCCAGGTGGTCACCCACCTGGGTACTGACCGCGCCCAATGATGCTTGACTTTCGGTGATCTAACGAGAACCGGTATATTCTGCATGGTATGGCCGTTAACTCTTGATGAATAATAGGCATTTTCAAATAATAGCTGCTCCCTTTCTACATACTATCCTATATTATCCGGGTATTCATGCAATTCAGCCAATCACTAAATAGTTAAGAGTCTAGAGGCGAATCAGTTGAGGCCAGTTCCAGACAAAATGTTAATGGTTGGCCAAAAGATATTGGGAAAGGATTAATGCAAAAAGGGACGATTTAAAAAAAAAGAAAACATACTAGGAAATTTGTGTGTAATTATTATATATATATACACACACCATACACACACACACACGTATATATACACCACACACACACACACACACACACACACACACACACACACACACACACACGCACACATATATATATATACACCACACACACATACATATATACACCACACACACGCATACATATATACACCACACACACGCATACATATATACACCACACACACGCATATATATATACACCACACACACGCATATATATATACACCACACACACGCATATATATATACATCACACACACACGCATATATATATACACACACACACATATATATATACACCACACACACATATATAATATATATATATATATATATATATATACACACCACACACACACATACATAATATATATATATATATATATATACACCACACACACACATACATATATATATATATATATATACACACCACACACACACATACATAATATATATATATATATATATATATACACCACACACACACATACATATATATATATATATATATATATACACCACACACACACACATATATAGATATACACCACACACACACATATATATAGATATACACCACACACACACATATATACACCACACACACAGATACACACACATACACATAAAAGCATACTTGGATTTAAGTTTTTGACATCACTAAAATTACAAAAAGTTTATATTACGTAAAAGGTTATATCATACTATTACCTTTAATAGCAAAAAAAATTTATTTAAAACAAAGTATCATCAGTTAATTGAAATGGCAACTTTTTATTTAATTAATCAAATCAACACTCGATAAAATCGGCAATCCTTCAAAGTCGTTCGTACAAAAAATACTACAAAAAATAAATCAAAAACAGATTAAAAAACATTTAATTGGGGGGGGGGGGGGGACTGTCCTTCCAAGAAAGAGTCATTCCACGGTTAAGTTCACGTTCAACAGGTGATTCCTTTTGCATAGCTTCTTCCGTAAACAAGGCCGTGCAAGAGCGATGGGAGTGGTGTTTACTTGTCACGACTGCTTTATCAAATTGACAATTAAATTAGCCGTACGCAGTGATCCGAAATGAAATTTAACAAAAATAAAAAATAATAATAATTAATGCTGTTTTAGTTTAAGGTAATGTTGATAAAAAACTTTTTAGTTACTTACAACTTAAGGGGACAGTAAGGTAAGTAGTGTGTTTACTTGTTGCAGATAATTGCGCATGAAATAATAGGTAACTTCCTTTGTATACAATGCCATTTTCAATATCTAGAGTAAGTAATAATGCCAGTCAAGAAATTTGAATTCAATTTGTTCAAACGCTATTTGAATTCGTTCCATCGGTATAATCCAATGAATTCCTTGTAAGTAGATGAAACATAAATGAAATTTAAAAAACAAGTAATATAAAAAAAAAAAAAAATTTTAAAGTCAATTCCTTCTTTTTTCACTATATTGCAGAAAATCCTTTTATAAATAATTTTCATTTATTTTTTAAAGTTTATCTGGCGCCATCTATTGGTAGATATATGCACCTTAAATCTAAAAACTAAAAATTGATTAAATATAATTACTGAATTAATATTTGAAAAAACTGTATTAACATAAGTGTCATCCACAACAAGTTCAAAAAATGTATCTGAACTTGAGTGGATGAATAAGTATTTTTATTAACGATTGGAAATTTGAACAAGATAGATATAAGGAGAGTGTGAGCTAATAGAAGGAATTGAATAAAAAATAATAATTAATGCTGTTTTAGTTTATAGTGAATAAAGTAATGTTGATAAATTTTTTTTTTTATTTTTTTTTAGTTACTTGCAAAATGAGGGGACAGTAAGGTAAGTAGTCTGTTGATTTGTAGAAGATAATTGCGCATGAAATGATAGATAACTTCCTTTGCATACAATGACATTTCAATATCTAGAGTAAGTAATAATGCCAGTCAAGAAATTTGAATTCAATTCGTTCAAACGCTATTTGAATTCGTTCTACCGGTATAATCCAACGAATTCCCTTGTATGTAGATGAAACATAAATGTCCCCTATCTTTAACTAAATCGTGGACCGACTCACCCCAATTTAAAAGTCAATAATCACGATCGTGTCGGTCAAAAGCACTCTTCGCACTCGCTTGAACCTAAAAAAAAGAACACAATAGAAAAAAAAAAAAAAATCGTTCCATTTCGGATTATTCCACACAAGAATCTCAAAATTACTCTAAACCACCCCGCTTTTTCCCCCTTTAAATATCTCTTGAGATATACATTATTTTTTCTTTCTTCCGTCCATACATAACACGAAAAGCGAATACTAACGAAATCATCATTACTACATACTCGTTCGTAGTTAGCATACAAATTTCTATAAGGGGTAACGCTTCGTTGGAGAGTCGGCGCAGCCAACATATAGAAATGTGTTGGTGGGGGAGGAGGTGAGTGACTTTTTACCTACCCTCCCTACCCCCACCATTGTGTACCACATAGGAAAAGCGCATCTTTATCACTGTAGCAGAACTAAACCCTTTTTTTGTTGTTGTTGTTTTTATAAAAGAAAAAGCCCGCGTAAATCGTTGTCAATCGTTTCCGTTGTAGAGTACAACACAGAAGAATCGTGCGATCTAGGTAGAAAAAGCATAGATCACGTGGCGATAGTGGCTCCATCTTGTGTTAGATCCTACTTTTTTTTTTTTTTTTTGTGTGTGTGTTATTATTCTTTTGTACTTTTTTTGGTTTCAACCGAGTTGAAAATAAAACGCAAGTACTATCTTGCATCTATATACGAAATACATGACATTATGTTTTTGTCTGGTTTTTTTTTTTTTTAGGTTTTTTGGTTAGTTTTAAAATGAGAGTAAAATTTTCTAAAAAAGATAAATAGAGAAATAAATTTTGCTCCTTTGATAAAAACAACAAAAAAAGTATTTATGGTTGCAATTTATTTAATAAAAAATCCACGCTGAAAGTTACAAATATATAAATAGGTAATATTTACGGCATTAAAGCTTTGTTAACTTTTTTTTGCTATCTCACACATTGCTTTTACTTTATTAATTTAAAATTTCATTTGTGATTTGGTTTAAAAAAAGCGCTGTCAATCATTAATCGTTTAGAATTGTTATAATATAATTATATCGTTACCAAAAAAAAAAAAAAAAAACTAAAAAAGATTTTTTTTATTTAATAAAACATTTCTACATTAAAGTAAATATATTGAAAGGAATAAAAAAAAAAAAAAGTATGCCATCCAAACGAAAAAAAAACAAAAATAATTAATAGCAGTTTCATGAACATAAACTAATTAGCATTAGTTTCTATTTAAGAAAAACATGATATAACTTTCCCAAATGATACTTAACGATATATTCACAATTGCGTTTTTTTTTTATTACATTTTTAAGGAAACCCTATAATTTCATAAATTGACTAAAGTCCAGAAAAAAAAATACATTAAACCACAGCAAGCAATAGACTAAAGCATTGACAATTTCACAAAGCTCAGCAACTATTTTCAAACAAAACTTCCTTTTTTAAACAGCAATAAGCAAAAAACCAAATTTAGCTTTTCTCATCTAAATTTACCTATTGAAGCTTCACCTACACTGACAATAATCCTTAAATATCGGGTCCAACCAATTCATTGAATTAACAACACTAACCTGTCCTTTCTGTCCTTCATAATACACGTACCACTGGAATCATCTGTTTCACCTCATTAAACTTATCCTTAGGCAGATTTTGGATGATACCAACATCAAATGTTTGAATTTCTCATCATAATTTAGGTATGAGTCGGTTCATCGACCTACGTCAAATGATAAATTTTGTCCCGATTATGTAATTTATCATTTTTCCAGATTTATATAATCAGCATTTTTTTTTTTTTTTTTTTTTTAACAGGGAATTAAATAACGTGCGCGTCTACAGACTTATTTGAAAATTATCAGCGAAACCTGACTATCCTGCGAAAAGAAGTGCTTGGGATGAAGGTTTCATTACCGAAAAAGATATAAGAAGAAATGATGAGAAAAAGCATGAAATTAAGACCTCTTATCAGTGTTAAGACTCGTAAATAAATGCCATTATCTATTCCTAATGCGAAACAAGTAAGATAATGCAAAAGGAAAAAAGAAAAAAAATTAGTTCAGGACACGATAAATATCAAGTGCTGTTTGATGATAAAAGGTCATACGAATTATCAGGAATTACCCACACAAATATCAAATAACTAAACCATAAAACGGTAAAAGTATTTTGTAACGGTGAGTTTGGATAATTTTTCATTTGAAATAATACCATAAACGTTTTTAAGAACAATGGCATGAAAATCTTACATAAAAAATCCAGCAAATAACATCTTAATCTACACTATTTAAGTAAATTTTCATGTGCTTTGCTTCTTGAATTTTAGTTGATGATGTTATGCGTTTTTTTTTTTTTTTTTTTTTTTTTTAGCTTATGCCAATTTATATAGCATATTCTGTTCCGATCATTGAGTGTTTTTCAAGATTATAAAACGAATAAAGTAGCAAAGTTAACCCATCAAAGGTAAAAAGTATTTTGTAACGGTAAGTTTGGATAACTTTTCATTTGAAATAATATATAAAAATTTATGTTTTTAAAAGGACAATGGTATAAAAATCTTATAAAAAAAAAAGTCCATCACATAATACCTTAATCTACACTATTTAGGTAACAATTTTTTATGCCTTTGCTTGAATTTTTCTTAGTTGATGATGATATAA